AGATGCGATATTTCAAATCCTCATCATGAGGAACCACAATTCGTAGTGTATTCGTGGAGTCAGTGCAATAATATAGCAAGTCATTATTCAACGAATATCGTTGCAATCGTGCACGCGGTCTAGGTGACAATTTTTTGTCCGAGTCTATTCTGCGCCAAAGGTGCACTTGTCTACATTGGCGTACAGTTTATTTGTGCGCATGCACTCGAGTACCGCTCTTGAATGAACGATGTGATTATTCTCATCTGTCCTCCCGTGCTCCGCACGAATGTGAATGAAAATGTCGTCAAAGTATGTCTGTGCATACGCCCTGTGGGGCCTACTGCATCACAAGACGATTAAACTTTGCTGGTGCATTTGACAGCCCTTGGGACATCACCAGCCACTACCAGAGCATGCCGCTCAAAGTTCTTACCGCTGTCAGCGGAGTCTCACTCGCTCTCATGAGCAATTGGTAATACCCATCGACCAAGTCGAGTGCACTGTACTTCGTACACCACACCATATTGTTCTGAAGAACATCCTTCCAAGGAATCGGCGTCGGAGCCAGAATGGTGGCAGCGTTGAGCTTATTGTAAGCATGAACGATACGTCACTTGACGTTCGACTTCCGAACAAAAAAAGTGGGTGTCGAATGGGGAGACTTGCTCCCACGTACCATCTCTGCATCGTGTTTCGCACGGAAATGCTTCGATGACACCGCACTGCTCCTTGGACAGGGGCCATTAACGTGTTACGCAGTATTTGGTTCCCGGAACTAGGTTGATCTCATGACGCACATGTCGGTCCGGAGGTAGGTCAGATGGCGGGTCTTTGGAGACGACGTCTTGAAATACGTTTAGCAAAAGATAGTATGGATCCAAGAGATTCCGTAGGATCAACGATCCACTTCGTGCGTTCAGAAATCTCTTGGTGTCCTCCACGCCAGCTTCATTCGGAAGCGATGACGATTTTATTTCTTCGTCCGGTCGAACAATGACCACTTCAGCCAAATCGCCAGCCTTCAAAGCTCTGCCAAACTTTTCAAGGGACATCTCGTCCAGCTCAAGAAGATCATCAACTGCAGACATAGCCTCGAGGCGGACGTTGCCATCTTCCTCCCCCGTCAAACCGTTGACGAGGGTGTATAACTGTACGCCATCGTCTACGGTAGACACGGTCGATGCCCAGCTTCTTGCAGCCAGCATACGGCGTCGCCGTCGCCGTCGCCTTTGTACATAGGTCCTATGTCTCGGTGAGACCAGGGTAAACACGCACTATGCGGCGTCCGGTGCCATCCTCACCGTCCGCTCCTTTGAAGCTCCGATATTATCTACAACATTTGACGAAGAGCTGCTTACCCAGCAGTCCTCGTCCAGTGGATAGCGTGCCACTCCACGCGCATCTGAAAGGCCGGGTCCAAGCTGCCTCAGACTCACAACATTCGACGAAGAGCTGTTAACCCCGCAGTCTTCGTCCAGTGGATAGCGTGCCACGCCACGCCCATCAGAAGGGCCGTGTCCAAGCTGCTTAAGACTCTGTCCGACCTCGCCATCAATGGCATACAGCAACTGCTTTGCAACGAGAGCAGTGCTCGGTGGTTTACGTGTCACTTCACGTGCATCACGGCCTCGCCCTCGATGCCTCGGCCCTCGGCCGACCATGTCACGCATGACATGTAGCGACTGCTTCGATACTTGAGTAACGCTCAGTGGTTTACGTGCCACTTCACGTGCATCACGGGAGCCTCGCCCTCGATGCCTC